TTCTAATATTTCTTCCCCAAATCAAAAAAAAAACCCTTCTGCACGTGGGCGCCCGCGGGGGGGCCGGTGGGGGGGCCAGACCCCCCTCCTGCCACACAGAGGCCTCCAACTTCAAGAAGGTTTTTTTTATTCATTGAGGGAAGAAATATTAGAAAAATAAAACTTTACACGATGTGCTACAGCGTGATTTCTCCTGCTAAACAGAAAAGTTCTATAATTCTGGAAGAGAGAGTGATAGAAGTGTGAAACTTTCGGGGTGTATAAGGAACCATTAAGACTACCACCAAAAACAATTTCAGCTCTCTATGAGTTTCCTGGACGGAGTTGAATATGATTTTTTATGCTAGTTTTCGTTACGAAAATTAGAAAACTGGAAGTAACTCTCAAAGGAAGCCGTTGGCCGAAATTCTTTTAGGCTTTTACCTATTCGAGGTCCCCTATCGCACGATGTATGAACAAACCTGAGCAACACATCTGGGAATATGTCCTCGTAAGGAGTGAATCCTATTTTAGTACTAGTATTGATTTCTTCTAATAATTTTCTTTGATCTAGCTCGACAACATCAACCAGCAGCACCAGCACGTAAGCTTCCATGGAGTGAATTTCACGTCATTCAAAATGTCATTCACAATCTCAACTATGTTAAAGGACGACGACCACAGCCACAACATCGACCACTGCAACAGTTATATCCGAGTAAGATTTTTTTCTCTAGTTATGACTAAATCACTCATGGAAACATTTTTATTTTAAAATTCAGAATAACAACCAATTGTGAGTATATATGATACTTTTGTGATATCCGCCAAGAAATGATTTGATTTAGCAAAATCTAATGATAATATTAATCTGCCACTGCTGCTTGGATTACTATTACCACTGCTGACCCTACTGGGAATATGTTGTTGTTACTGCTGTTGTCGTTGGTACAAACTATACTGGTATGAAATCTGATATTATTCTGTTGTAGATGCATAAACCTATCGCTCTTTGGATAAATATTATCTTTTGAAACTGTATTGTGCGATCTCATTGTATCAGCTGTACTGCATACTTCAGCCATATTTAATTTATCATTCTAGTAGGCGGAAAAAATCGGCCAAACGCGAAGACGTAAATCCTAATTACAGACAACAGTATATCAAAGACGGTGACGATAATAGTGAACTATGGCCAACATCAACACAAGACTCGATACTATCAGGTTCTTTATCACCATCTAGACTTACTTTCCTGTCAAATTTTGTTTCCCCAAATGATAATTATTCTACTATTCATGGCAATAGTTCTGCTCAGTCTAAAGTATCACCTCAATCAAAAACACCAAGTTTTCTATCTCCCTCATCAATTAGCCTAAACTATGATAATCAAATCACTAATGGGAAAAGATCACCACTCCAGCTATCAGAAACAAGTATGTCGCCAACACCAGAGTACTATCATCATGCTTATCGTCAAAGTTCAAGATTACCGAGTGCTCATTTCAATGGCTCGATATTATCTCGTGCGTATTCAGAGCAATTAAGAGTGGGTAAACAGGATATGAATAGGAAAATGGCATGGTAAAATGTTTTTTATAGTATGAATTGATTTTAAGGGTGTCCACACCCTATATGTTTCCTAAAACTATGTTAGTTTGAAGAGAACACCTGGTTACATATATCCTTCAGTGTTTTTGACGAACTGATAACTGTTCACAGAGTTATTAATTAATTAAGCTTAAATTTTAATTAAAATTCGAAGTCTTAGTTCTCATTTTAAAAAGCTTGTGGCTCAGTCAAAAATAGTCATCGAACAGTCATTCATGCATTGTTTGCTAGCTAATGGTCTGTTGTTATGGGTTGATGAAAAAAATTTTAGAAAACGTTTTTTTAAGACAATAATTTATGATTAATCATGCTAATGAATACTAATTTATATCATTTCGGTGGCTTACACTTTTATTTGCAAATTAACAGTTTATTGGAAACGGTAAAGCAATACATCATTCCACATAGATTTCCAGGCGCTACAAACGTCTATATTTCCCTTTTGAAAATGTTAACTATAAGCAGTTGTTTGTATTCGGTTTTATACAAACGGGATTTCTACCATTGCTTTCTGAATAGAGCAGCCATGGATGTTTTTTGAATAACTCGAGAACGAAAAGAGATAGAGAATTCGGATTTTCAGCATTTTGCAGAGAAGGCTTTACTCTATTTCTGCATATATTTTATGCTAAAAACCTCGGTTTTTCAGGTGGTGTACCTGACTGATGAAAACCGATGAGGTTGCCCGATTCTGAATTAGCGGTGAATATTTAATTATATATATATAACGCGGTGGGTAGATAGCTCAAAGTGTTTTCTACAATTCTGCGCAAGGCTGACCTCTCCATTTGTTGTGATTCACGAATGGCAGGCATTTCCCTGAGTCGCCCATAATTGGTTATCATTTCGTAGGGTAAATGCTCGCTATTCGAGAACCACAACGGATGGAAAGGTTGACCCTGCACAGAATTGTAGAAACCACTTTGGGCTACCTAGCCATCACGTTACAATTAAAAATTATTGATTATGGCGATAGTTGCTGGGGTTTTCGGAAGCCCTTGTTGCAAAATCTTGCCATGGATCCTGACTAAGCACACATAAAAACTGTTGGAACAAAAGTTGTTTCCTATTGATGCTCTTCTTTGTTTTTACACAATCTCACAAATAGTGGATAGCGTCTTGGTCGCATTTGATATGAAAAAAGCTTTTGACAACGTGCCTTATCGAATTATAACTTCTCGTCTATGAACCCTAGGTCTTTCTCCTCTATATCTCCAATGGTTCGAAAACTATCTTACTGATAGATCACAACAAGTTAGAGTAGGATCTTTCTTATCCCTTCCTACATCACTAAAATCGGGTGTAATTCAGGAATCAGTGTTAGGGCTCTACTGTTCCTTATATTTATTAATGAGTCACCCTTTGTAGTCCAGCTTCCTGTCGACACCATACTTTTTGCTGATGACTGTACGCTGATTTGTCCCGTTACTTCTGGTTGTTTGCCACAATTTTGTCAGGAGAATATTGACAAAATATGTGATTGGTGTAATTCAAACCTCATGGCGCTTAATCCTACCAGGATGTTTGTTTCTAACAGCTCAAATAAAGCTGATACTTTCAGTTTAAATCACGCGTTGGTTCCATCATTCAGCGCGGACAAAGTCTAGTCCTTCTAGGTCTAGAAATCAACTATAACCTTAGGTGGCGAGCACATACAGACGACCTGGTTAAAACCTGTAGAAAACGTCTAGGCGCTATGTACCGCCAATTTAAAAAGGCTCGTGCTTCAGTACAGCTTCATATTTTCAAAACATGTATTTTGAGCAAGCTCGATTACGCCTATGGGTTGTATGATAGCAAGTTCGAGACATTACAGAATGCACTTGAATTTGTACAAAATCTTGCTGCACACATGATTAGACAGGATTTTGATACATTGGGGCAGATCTTGTATTCGGTCTCAGGTTACCTGCATTAGAGGTACGAAGAAAATATTTTCGTATCTACTATTTTTCAAGATCTTAAATGGGCACTCCCCACTTTCTTGATTGAGTCTAATTCGGTTAGATCCAGCAAGAAGATCAAACACAACGCTCAAGACAGCCAGAAGGTCCTTTTGCTAGGACGGAGACTGTTTTACAGTCTTTTTTATATCAAACAGCTCGAGATTGGAATCAAACTCTATCAGAAGCAGTTGTCTCATCTACCACTATTAGAAGTTTTAAAATAAAATTATAGCAACATCTCCAACTATGAAAAGAGCAGCAAGGTTTATAGGTGCATCCCACGTTTTTTGCCTTCCCGGGCACCGGCTTTGATGTATATGAACGATTTGCGGTGCCATAGTACCGTTCATATCCGACATGTAAAAAAGCTATAACTTTTTTGTTAGTGAATGAATCTTAGAGAAATTTTTATATGTTATTTGACATCCAGGAGATCCTCGGAGAATATTAGATTTTAATCTAACGGGTGTGGCAGGAAGAACCACTCTTCAAAACTACGTGTAAATAACTTTTTTAGCATGAAAGATGACTGAGTTAGAAGAGAAAAAGTAAAGACACTCCAAAGTGACAACTTTTCAAAATAAGTTTTTTCAAGTCTGCGTAGCTCTAGCTTGAGTTAGAGCAAATCTGAGACGACCATTTGAAAGAGCGCAAAATTCTCTATCGGAAACCGAAACGCATCAAATTTTTGACCATCTCTTAAACCCACAATAGCGAGATTGGATTTCCGAGTTTCTGAAAAAAATCGCTCTTTCTAATCCATGTTTTTGTTCCTTCCGCGAAAATCCTCATAACTCGACTAAAAATGATCCTTTTCTAACAATTTTTTTTGTCTTAAAGTTTAACATCTCGGCTGTCGAATAAATACACTTTCGAAAATTTTTGCTAGTACACTGTGTGCTCTCTGTTCATCGGAAAATCTCAAACAGTACGATTTTCGGACTTGTCGAGCAAATCTGTAATTTGCGTGGCAGCTTTGATAAGCATCAGCTTTTTATGTAGTGCGTAAAAAAGAGCCGACTTCAAAGTACTAGGAAATAGTCAAATCGAAGAAATAGGTTTAACTACAAGGGTCGAAAATTGGCAAAGCAAGTATCAAAAACTTACCTTGGAAAGTTGACCTGCTCGGACGTCTTTACTTTTTCTCTTATAATTCCGTCATCTGTCACGCCAAAAAGATTATTTACACGTAGTTTTGTAGAGAATTTAATTGCCAATCTTTTAAAAAAGGTTTCGTTTGGTTTCACTAAAATTGACTAAGCTATATCGAAAACAAAACAGTCCGGTTTTTCCTGCCACACCCGTTAGCATTGAAGTAGTACTTGAGAAATTATTATTTTTGTTGAATAATAACGGACTAATCTCATATTTAATTCAAACTAAGGTTTGATTTGAACAGAAAATGACTCTAAGGACAAATACTTGCAAATTACTTGCAATTAACGCTCAAAGTTGTATAGTTAAATAATACGACAATGTGCTTGTGTAGACAAGTGTCTTCTCATTCACATTCTGTTTGATACGGTAATGGATTATAACATATTCACTATGTGACTGAGAAGTTTAGCAACGACATATCGTTGAAGCAGTTGTAGTTGATTTCGAATAGCTTTTCCAGTATGGCTGATTGGAATGAAGAACTAATATTGACACTGGAAAACACACCAGTAGGAATATACTGGGTGAAGAAGGATATGAAAATGACTCGAATTAATTGTATTTTCTACACGATATTACTAACATTCTCAGTCTCATCATCATTCTGATCAACAACTAATGCTGCTAATCTATCTTCAATATGCACCACTTGCTTCTTTATTTGTAACTGTAACTGGGGCAGTAAAAATCTTTCAACAAGTTCAATTCTATGTGTTCCCACTTGTGCAGCTGTTACTCTTCGCATTTGTAACAGCGCTAAATGAGATTGTTGAATGGTTAATTGAGCACAAAAGCGAAGTAATAAGTGAATGATGGTGCCTGTTCTATGTACACCTGCAGCACAATGCACGAGCAGTTTTGTATTGGACTGTTGCAACAGAGAATATAATTGATCATCATGCAATAGATGGTGAATGACTGTGAGTGTAGCTTTAGAACTCAGCATGGCTTGGTTGGCACCATCTAAATCACAATACAAACTATACATTCCAGCTGATTTCACTGCATTTATTAAAGTATTCAGCTGTTCTTGTTGCCCCAATAATGTAAGTATATGTGTTGTACCAAGTTGTCTTAATAGAGGTAGATCTCTTTCGCTGGGACGATGCCAACACGTCAGATTGGCTCCACTTGGTAGCTGTACAAACTGAGGCAATTCTGGATAATACAATGAAGAAGATTTATGGTTTATAGTTGATAGCAAATAATTAATCAGCCGCTCTTGGAAGTGATTTAATGATTCATTGGAATGTTGTTGTAGCAGCTGCAGTACTGGTCGAACAGCGTTGGTCACTTTTTTATTTGTAGTAGTTACAGGAAGAACTAATTTTTCTAATTGATTATTCGTTATGGTGAAATTAATTCCAATAAGTATTAGTGCAAGTGCATATTCACTTCTACCTGCATTGCAAGCTGTACTAACATACTCTTGCAGGTGCGAATATTGTAGATGATCAGTGATTAAACAATGCGCACAATTTATTGAGATATAATTAGCTGTACAAAACTGTTGCAGCTGTTCCAATTGTTCAATAGTTGTTGCATAAATAGCTAATCCGAACTGTTGTTGTTGCACATGTTCTGATTGTTGTTGTTGTTTACGTTTGTTGTCTAAGGATACCCCATTTTTAGCGTGCTTCTGCTGCTTGTTTTCATCAGCTCTTGAATAATTTATTGAATCTGACACTAAGCACAAAAAAACTATATTTAATCATCTCTGTATGCTTACGAGAGAGACTCCATGAGAAAAGTCTAGCAATAGCCAAAGGGCATAAAATATATTTTGTTTCAAATATACTCATTCGCTTTTCTATACAAAATTAGGTCTCCTATATCGAAAGTGTTTATTGGTTTTTGAAAAAAAAAACCTTGGAAAAACCTGTTTTTAACATATATTATTTTCTCACGTTAAAATACTCTTAAAAGTTTTTCCGAATAAGCTCATCACATTTTGCTAAGGTTTCTCTTCAGAATGAAACATTTGTCAGCACTACATAATGCTTTAGTCAAAAATTATTAGAGTTTTACGAAAAGCAGCGATTGCGTCTAGTATTTTTTCGTTCTATTTTCTGAGTAGTTTTTGCGTTGACGGTGCTCGGCACACAGTTCAGCGTAAAGACTTAATTTTTGTTAATTTCTAGGAGATAGTTGTAGCTAGAGGTTGACAGAACTCGCTGTTCGTTCTAGCCTTTAGATTTTAGGAAAACAGAGTTTTATCGAAAAGTCCAGAGGGATTTTCGAGTATTTGAGAAAAAACGTTGCCAATAATCAGTAAAAGGAAAAATTAAAGATCTGGCTCTGTCAAGCTCTACCAGTATGGCTTGGGTAAAGAATTACGCAAATTCGAGCTCCCTAGCACATATCTTAAAGTTTACTATAAATTAGCGTCTTCATTGTCATTTTCCATCTGGTGGCTATTGTTCTTTTTGCGGGTAACCTCAAAAAGATCAACTGAATAGTGAAATATGCGTTAAATTCTATTGGTTCCGTTAATAGGACGTTCTAAAGAGCTTGGACTTTAGAAACCTTTAATTTCTGGTATTACCTCTATTCTGTTATCAAAGAACTTATAATAATTTCTTTTTAGTAGTTACTTTCGATGTTGAAAACGAATAAAACACTTCTGTCAATCATGAGTCACATGGGTGGTTCGCGCTCCTATTGTCTAATCTGTATCCATCCACTGCCGATAAAAATCTCAGCTCTCTAACTATCTATTTTTGCCGCAATATAACAGTTACATTATTTCGTGGATAGGTTTTGGCGCCTTCTGCCGTTAAACCATAACCGTTTTTTAAAGATGGAGTTAATACTAAATCATTTTCTTGTGAAAAATTTGCGGCAGAAAATCGAAAAAAGCCCAAAATCAGCTGTTTCTCCTTGGGTTTTCGCCACCTAGTCGTATCTTCTCTGCTGCATCTTTCCTTGTTCTTGTAGCGTGCGTTGCCTGAATATATAAATAGGTTAGCCTTAGAATCGAACCCCAAAATGCGACAATGCTGGCTGCACTCATCTCTTTGTCTTCTTTTGCAGTTTTATCGGCGCTGACTTGCTGATGCACACCTCTATTGTTGAAAACTTTAGCGCAAAAATGTATTCAACTCTCACCTCAAACAAAAGTCTGCTTCTTAGACCCGTTTAGATCGCTGGTTCCGGACTTATTTCCTAAGTGCATTTAAACAACGTGAATCTTTTCGACACATTAGAAGATTCTGATAACATTCTTATCGCACAATGTGCGTTATATAGATGTAAAGGTCAACCTTCTACATTACTATTCATAGGCTAGTGTTTTAAATAATCTTTTTAATAAATAATTTCTTTATGCTTGATATAAGAAAAACCAGAAAAAAAAAATTTTTAGTAAGGGACTACATTAGGCAGAGCCTTACCATTTGGAAATGTTCCGCCGTCTCTAGCTGCATATTTAGTGTGTGTGTAAAATCGAATTTTTTCTGAAAACGTTTATGTTTGGTTTAAATGCATCGTAGACGGCTACAGGATAACAATTATTCATGAAAACATTTACGATCAAAAGTTTTCATGTCTGCGTGCTATTAAAAAATTGCCCAGTGTGGTGAGGACAGGAAGTGAGAGAGCACAAATAAATATGTATACTATCTCTGCATGTCTCAAAATACATACTGTCTGATATTTCTAACGTAGCCTTTTTTGAAACATTTAATATATTGATCATTATATGTTGTAATTACTAAAGAAGCTGTTACTGTTCGTTGTGTAATTTTTGTTCCGTCCTGCATCATTCTTTACATTTAACGTAGTCAACAGAAAAACTCTTGAAAAATTATTTCTAACTAATATTAAAAAAGAACAAAATATATTCTGTCACATTTTTTTCTATAATGTTGACTTTTGTCGTTATGCCTTTGCTTCACATGTTTTTTAAATAAGATTATAAATAAAAAGCAATGAAGAACATGTGCGGTTAAGTTCTCTTTTTGCCCCTAATGAAACTGATTTCTGTTCTTACGAAAATGTTAGAATAAGTTCCATAGTGTTTTGTACTCTTCAGTTTTTCAAACTTTAAGGAGGCGTTTTCGAGATCTTGCCTGCAGTTTCTCTACTGGGAAGCATTTTGGAGCGAAAACATGAGCGTTGAACTTGCTTATCATGTTTTTTTCTATGGGATAATACTTAGCTGTGGCTGAATTTAACTTAGGGTCAATCTAACAATCATCTCTTCGTCTGCTTTTGCTGTCCAATTCATCGCCAAAGTCTGCATATACCACCTTTGTTTCGTCAAATTTGGTTCAGCACGGCAAAAGCACCTAATTCTCTATTCCCTTGACTTTAGTTTATGGTATTACAGAATGGTTGTCTATGTGTGTATCTGTGCACAAAATACGAAAAAACCGCTGTATTCCATGGATAAGCCAATCACAATCACAAGAGAGAAAAATAGAAAATTCTTTCTTACACGAGAGAGAAAATATTCAAACAGATAGTTGAAATAATATTTACTGATACAGAGAGATAAAAAGCAAACTTTTTCTGTAGTTTGGGAACAGATGTCGCCAGAGATCAATCAATTTTGATGATACAAAAAAGGGCATGCTCAGATAATAAAAGTTGTAGAATATAGATAATGTATCCATCAGAAATACTAGCAGGCTCGCTTTGGATCTTCAGAGTGCACCCAGAAAGCGTTTCAGGTTTATGTTACATTGTGCGATTTTTCCGTGGAATCAGAGAAGTTCATAACATTTCTCAGAAAACTATATGAATGAAAACTGTTTAGCATCAAATTCTGCGTGAAAGAACCAAATAAACTTTAGAAAATCGTAAAACTCAATTTTAAATTAAATTTTACAAAAATTTAAACTTTAAAAGCCAGTATTTTGGGCTTCAATAATATAGTTAACAAATTTCGAAAACTTTCACGCAGAATTTGATGCTGAATAATTTTTGTCTGAATACTTTTGCTACATAATGTTTTCCTAATGCGAAAGGCTGTTCAAGGCTTTTTTAAAAGTACCTTTTGCGCTAGAAATGGTATGGCCAGGTCCAACTCAAGTTTCTCCGTCAGACTTCACCCGATAACGATGAAAATTGTTTTCTATAAGCTCAATGCGCTCTCCAATGACGAAAAATTCAAGGTTACATTTCGAAACAGTGAACGGTTCGTTACCGAACTATCCGATTGGTGTATGCCTACCCTCTCCCTTAAACAAAAAACTTTTTGTCTGAAAAACCTTCTAAAAATGCCCAAATAAACGTAAATGACTATGCAGCATGCGGTTGTTTTACTCGGGGGAAAAAAATTGATAATTTAGCGGTTTTGGTATTTGTCAATAAGGACGACTATAAAGCCCTCACTTTCCAGAAAAATTGTTCTAGTTGTGTGCAGCAGATACGCTCTATATGCATATGTATTAAACGTTCAGAGTTTATTTCTGAATTGAAAGGACATAGACACGAACGCAAGTGGGCAAAAAGGTGATCTCGAGCACTTTCAATGCCGTTTCTGTATGAAAATTTTGGGGAATAGGTAATCGACTGTGAGGAATTCAAAAATTAGTATGAGCGACCTCTAGGACGTATTGTATTGGTTGGAAATGTCCTGTCAGATTCCGGGATCTCACAAACACAATATTCGAGGAGAGACAAGCACTACTTGTTCACTTATCATGAAGGTTTCTGTCAAACACTTGTTTCGAACAACGGGAGGAGAGGGCCGTGGATAGTAACAGTGATTCATAGAAGCACGGAACCCTAGGCCGGTAACGAAATCTCGTAAGAAACACGTTCTTGTGTCGACGTGCGATTACTGCACTCGACCGGTTACGGTTAATGACCGATTACGGTTAATGACCGATTACGGTTAATGACCGATTACGGTTAATGACCGATTACGGTTAATGACCGATTACGGTTAANACCGATTACGGTTAATGACCGATTACGGTTAATGACCGATTACGGTTAATGACCGATTACGGTTAATGACCGATTACGGTTAATGACCGATTACGGTTAATGACCGATTACGGTTAATGACCGATTACGGTTAATGACCGATTACGGTTAACCGTAGCCGTTGGATGTGTAGGCCCAATGGATCTGAAGTTTTGATGTTTTCTCTCTAACACATACAATTTCTTTTCTCAATATTCTTCTATATTCTGATAGAGCAAATAAAATTGCAGCTATTTATTATTGATTATTCGTACGTTCTAGTTACGTATGCACTAACATCAGTATTTATACTGGTATACTGGGCCAGTATATACTAAGTACTCAAATACCCAAGCAAACATCACCTATAGGATAAATCTAGATACATTTCTGTAATCGATACAAGACTAGTTGCCATCTAGATTTTCATCTAGATTACTAGTTGACAAAGGGACTTTAACTAGATGCGTCTGCATGTGTAACTAGCAATGGTTAAATCAATCGATTATCAGCCGATAAATCGATAGTTGCGACTAGAACAAATCTTGTAATCGTCCGATTACTAGATTTCTACTGTCATTGCCCACTAGTTGCAATCGAGTAAAAATTTAGTAATCTAGATGAATCGGGGGATACCAGATTTTTTTGACGCTTGAGTAATTTGATCAGAATCTGTCACAGCAATAGTTTACAACTATAAGGGCTTTGTCGTACCAATATTTGACACCTACGGAGTTTAAGTGATGTTGTTTAAGTTTAATGTGAGGTTTTATGGATTATTATTTTCCAGGCATTACAGAAACAAGGTCATTAAGTTATATACACCCAGGCAAACTTTTTCTGCTACAAAAACGCGTCAATGTCCGTTAATTTTTAACGCGTTTCGCCGTATCAATTTTGGCCGATTAATGCGTCGAAACGCGTCTGAAATTAAAGCGTTTAAATGCGTTAGAAATGAGAGTAACTTAATGCGTTAGTAATTAACGCGTTTCGCCGTATCAATTTTGACCGAATTGATGCGTCGAAACGCGTTTGAAATTGATGCGTTTAAACGCGTTAAAAATTTAATTTTTTAAATGCAGGATTGATCTGACATTTTTTTAGAGGGTCTACATACTCACTTAGAGAGTTTCCACTGCTCTCAAGACTGCTTATAACAAGTAAAGAATGAAAGAAAACAAATATTACTTACATGGTTTGAGGGTGATTCGAACGTGGGTACCTAGAATTAAGAAGCAAACATACAACCGTCTGAGCTACAGACGACTGGAGCATGAACCGCATCACAACAGTGTAATTCGTTCATTTCTAATCAGCCCAAAAGCGATAGTGTTTGCTTCTTAATCTATTAGACCGCACATTTTTATAAGCTTAAAGCCATTTTCATGAACTTTGTCATGAGCGACACACAACGTTCGTTTGTTTATTTATTCACTTCGTCTCCTCCATACTCATTTAAAGAAAAGAAAGCGGTTTGAGTTTGTTTACTTACCGAAGATCTATTAGTAATTTGTCTTAATCGTCTTCGTTTATTTGTTCTTTAGGCGTTAAAAGGGCCAAAAGAGCAGAAGAACAGAAATCTCAGTCTTATGTGCGAACTTCTTTTATCTTCGCCATAGCCTCAGTGTTTCTATGATAAGTGCACTAAGCGGAAGTAAAATGCACGTGCATTCTGAATCAGAGGTGCAACCGGTACCGGTACCGGCATGAATTATAACGCCGACATTAGTATGAAGTATAATCAGTCGGTCGATGTTGCTGGTATTTTGCGCTATGATACTATTTTTCGAAAAACATCGTGCAAATTCAGTTCATCTATGACATATTTCTTCCACTAAAATTTCATTCCAATTACTTAAACTTTGTCGACTTATATAAACTTCTTAATTTAAAAAATTGAATTGGATTGCTGTTTTCGTAAAAAAAAGCCTGTGAAAAATCAGCTATACATAAATCAAAGTGAAAAGATTAATCTATCCCTTTGATAACATAAGTAATTGATCAAAAGAAGAGTAATCGGTTTTTTTCGCTGAATATTAACAGACTTCATCACATGGATGAAACATGATCACAACTTCATTTTAAAAAAAAAATGGTCAACATGATCAAGACAAGCTGGTATCGACCGGTACCGGTACGAAGTTTGTATACCGGTGGCCGGTACTGGTATCGCATTTTTGATCCCGGTTACACCCCTGCTCTGAATTTTTGAAATGCACTTTGCTTTTGAGAGTTTTTGCTGGAGTGCACTTTGTGAAAAGAAATTTTACGCCTGTTATGCACTTTGCTAGAAAAAACAAAGTGTATCAGTGCATTTCTATTCAAAATCCTATTAGAAACACTGCATAGCTTA